AAACTCGTCTCCGGCTGAGTGGCCTCTTGAATTAACGTATGACAGTCGTTGGGCTTGTTGCTTAATTGCACAGTGCTTTCTAAAAATGGGAGTGGGTTATTTTGGAGAGGCTAAGGCGAAGTTAAAGACCCCGCTGGCATCCGACGATGCGGAAGTGACACAATTTATGCTATGCCGCTGAAATGAGGCCAATTGGAGTGCCTAAGGAGCCCTAAGTAGTCCACGGAGGAATGGTTCTGTCACACGAGGACTTTGGAGTTTAAAACAGCGGCATATTTAAGTCAGATTAATGTAAACCGTGGAATAAGATTGCATTCATTTATTTGGTATTTCACAAAAAAACAAATAAACAGATTTGGATTGAATTAATTGAATGAAATTAGAAGCTTTTAAAAAACATAGCATCAATGGGTAATTGAATTGAAGCGGATATGCTGAGTAGCACAAACATTCAACATAGATTAGAAACATATTTATTTGCTATGTTTGGGGTGACACATAAATCTCTTCGGTGGAATTTTGAATATATTGCATTATAGAAACATTCCAGCCGAATTTTAACCAACGCTTACACTTTAAGAATTCTTAGAAACACATTAAACTTTAGCGTTTGCTTGAGAATGTTTGTGTGATTCCATTTTCTATTTTAATAAGTGTTAGGTAGGAAAATGTAAAGTTTAGAGTTTCTGATTAAATATTAAAAAAAATTTTTTATCTACTGAATGTATAATGTTTGAATCCAGAACAAGCAAATATTATTAAAGTAATTTATAAATATGTACAAACAAGTTAAATTTGAATCATTACATTGTACCCTTTTCAGTTTGTTAACTTTAAATGATGGTCGAAAAAGAACTCTTTATAATAGACCATAAACCTTTAGTACGTTGGAGAATAACTATAAGAAATGGGTTTAAAAATAAACGTTAGCATTTGAACAATTTTCCCAACGTAAAAGCAGGCATCGTAAAACCTTTACTTCACTGTGCACCCACCACCCACTTGGCATTTTAAAGTCGCCGTGGCAATCAGTGACGGGCTCAAGCTCCCAAGGCCCCCGCCACCCACCAAACACAACCACCACCCACCGAAAGTGCCGCCCAAGGCAACGGTGGCACGCAAATTTATCAGCCGTCTCCCGGGGCAACCTATCAAATTCCCCACCTCCCCCTCAACTGGCCAACACATCTGGCAGTACAGTCCGCTTCTCACGACATTGTGGTTAATGCATGCATGAATATTTACGACATCTTGCTATATGTGCACTCGCTGCTCACCAATTTCCAGTTGTCTGATCGTATTTGCAGTCCCAACCGGGCGGCATTTTCTGATAGCCACCGGATTCGCTCATTTTCACCGCTCAGATACAGATACAAAATACGACTGCACTTGCAGATGCGAGTTAAAGATACGCGTCTCGATTGTTGTTTTTTATTTTCACCGAATGTTTATGGACATTTAAAGTCGCATTCGCAGCTTGTTTGCCGACTGTCTGCAACCCCGAAAAAGTTGGCAGCCAGGAGTGCCCTTGCCACTTATCCGGCGGAGCTTTGTAGTTGGCTTGGACGCAGATTGGTATATTCGAGCACTCGGGGGTTGTAACCACCCTGACAGCAGAGTTATTTTTGTTTACAAGGCACTGCCTGCCGGGAAAAAGGACCACAGCACACACTGTTATGGCGTGCCTTCAGTGGGCGAGTGGGTGGATGGGGATTAACTACCCGGAAAGGACACGCTTTGGGGGAAACTCAAGTCCCGCAGAAGACGGAGCTGTAAACAACCTCGCGAGCCAAGCTTTGAGCGTCAACTGAGGAAATCACTGTCGGGCGTTGAATTGAAGCTTCAGATGCTGCGCCAAAGCCCAAAAAAGAGAGAAACCCGTTATGAAAGCCTTTATCCAGTGTTGGAATTCACTTATAGAAAGCTGTGGCGAAACTTTGACTTAGCTTTCAAGCCAACTCGAGTAGAGTAGCACAATTCAAATTTAACTTGATAACCGACAAACTTAAATTGTACCTTATATTTCCGCTTTTGATTTATTGGTTATATAACGCAGCAGCGATATGGCGGACATTTTGGCGAGAATAACGCGCATTTCGGAGAACTATCTCCAGGAAATGGAGGAGGCGCAGGAGCCGCAGGAACCACCCAAGCCGACCAGGGCCCAGAAAAAGGCCGCCAAGAAGGAGGCCAAGCGGCAGGCGATGATCGAGGAGAAGCGCCTGATCATGCGGGTGGGTAAAACTTTAAAAATACTACTCTGGTTATAAGGAGCGCATATAAAATATAGTACAATTATAAGCGAAAATGATATTTCAGATAAGTAATATTACTTAAATTGATGATTACTGAATGATTGATAACTGAAATTGATGATTTTATTATTTATCTGACAAAAATAGTTGATTAGCTTTACAGAAATGCAATAAATTTTACTAATACACTGATTGTAAACTTCTCATTTGATTAATGATTTTCAATAGTACATTCAAAAAGTGACGATTAATGTAATTGTTTTAGAGATTGACTTGTTATGCTATCTTTCAATGAGAAGTTTAGCCATCTTGATCAACTTAGATTTGGCGTGAATCTTCATGCAAACGCACAATTAAGATATTTTGTTTATTTAATTATATTTAGCATAAGAAAACCTGCTCTTCCGAAAATACTAAAATAATCCATTTTTTTAGTCTTACTTCCGAAATAACATTTTGATGTTGCCTTGCTTTAGGCAAATCTTAAATTAAAATTAAATTAAATTAAAGATATGCAAATGAAAATAAACCAATATCATTTTTTAGATTTCTCTCTAAGTTCTCTTTGTATCCTTTTTAGGATGCCCTGATGCGGGAATTAGAGATGGGCAAGCGCATGGAGCAGCAGGGCAACGAGGAGTGGCACGAGATGTGCCGCGAGATCAAGATCAAGGAGCTGAACGAGGAGATGGTCGTGTGGGGCGAGCGCACGGAGCGGAACATCCTGGCGAAGAACGACCACATCAAGATGCTGCTGGACGACATGTTGCAGACGCAGGACCAGCATGTGCGCAGCTACAGCAAGACGGTGGAGCTGATCGACCACATCCGGGACTGCTTCCACGTGATGCTGGGCGGGGTGAGGAGCATGTACGACCAGCAGGCGGACGAGATGTTGCGAGACTACTACGAGGAGGTGCGCCGGCGCACCGAGGAGCTGGAGGCGATGCAGACCAACTCCGACAACATCATCCATGCCACGAATATCACCACCCGGGATCAGATCAAGGAGGACTACACCATCTATCTGGAGCAGCGCGACGATCGCGTCAACACCGAGGTGGAGAACAGGTTCAAGACCCGGGATCAAGTTGTCCGCCGGATGTCGTTCATGCAGCAGCAGCTCAACGACTTCGTGGAGTCGCTGAGGAGCACCGAACTGGATGCCCACAAGTACGAGAAGATCCACTGGCTGACGGAGCGCCAGGAGGCCTTCATGGAGGAGTCGCGCAAGCTGAACGCCGAGGAGTCCAAGTACATCAACATGCAGGCTGAGCTCCAGCGCGAAATGGTTCGCATGGATGTGGAGAACAACTCCACGCTCAACGATCTCCGCCTGGAGTTCCAGTACTTCACCAATGTGCGCAAGAAGATCGAGCTCAACCAGGAGATGGACCGGGACATCACCCACGAGAAGCTGCGCATCCTCACTGGAGAGTGCTACGAGCTGACCAAGGTAAGCCCATTAACCTACACTCCAAAAAACATTCATTCGTTTTAAAAAACTAAAAATTAACTTTTTCTGGTTTTACAAAGTATGTAACTTCTTTTTTTTCATTAAAATATCGCGTTAATTCGAAATAACTAATTTTTAAGCAATAGTTTGCAATTAAAGTTCATTTAATCAGCTCACTTATTATCACAAATAATAGTTATATTTAAAAATACAATATATAATTAAACCAAAATGCATGACGAAATTAAATATAAAATTTATTTATACACCTAGTATTATAAAATAAAAAAATAAATAATGCTAACACAAAAATAAAAAAATAATTAAAAAGGTAAATTAATTAAAATAAATCAAAATATATTTTTTTAATAATAAAATGTTGTATTAAATAAGAGAAGGCACTTTTGTGATTTTTTATCCTTAATACCTTATTTTGTTTTAAAACAATTACAAAATTTTTTTAAGAGTGTATACAAATATTTTTGAGAGATAAAAACCAAATTCCTATTACAACCGTATTTTAGCAAATGGAGAAGCATGTGAAGAGTGGGGAGTTGCTTTTGGCCCTGTCCATCACCTGCAGGAAACTTCAGACGGAGGCGGAGAAGGTAATCCTGGGCGGCGAGGTCTTCGACGACACTGAGCTGCAGGTGGAGGAGAACTTCAAGCTGCAGACGCTCAACCTGAAGGACCACGTGGACATGACCGAGGAGGAGCTGGTGGAGCTGAACAAGAGCCTGAAAAACTTCTGGCGTCGTCAGGCGATGGCCGAGGCACAGAATTTGCTGATGCTCGAGGAGAAGCGCCGCCTCACAGAGGACAACCAGCGCCTGATCAACTTCCTCAAGTCCAAGACCGTCACCGAGGATCCCGAGGAGCTGCGAACCGCCATGCATGTGTCCTCTCCAACTCAGCCGATGCCACCCAAGCTCTTCGACAGCAAGTGCCAGGAATATAGATCCAGGAAAGTCCCGAGGTCGCCGACGGCTCACAAGGAGGCCAAATTCGAATCCGAAGCCATTTTGAACGATGTGATCAGTGAATATATTTAAAGTGTTTAATCCAAATATGAGACCAACATATTCGTTAAAGGTGATATTAAATTTTAGAATTATAGTGCTTTCAGTTTAAAAAAGTATTTTCATGTTTAATTTAAACCCAAATAAATAAGGCAAACATGTTTGAAATGCCTTTAAAATATTTTCCAATATCTGGAAAATATATATATATAAGATATTAGCCATTATAATCCACCTTAAATCATTCAAGACAAGTATAAACACATTTTGTTTGTCATAGAGTATAATCTTCATTTAATAATTACGTATTTGCTGAACACATAACATGGATATTTATAAGTGCCAAAAGCAATAAATTGTTTGTATAACGGATAGTTTTTTTCTAAATGGAAATTTAGACGTCGTTTTACTTATAATAAATGTGCAAACTGCAAGTCTTTACTCTACTTTATATTGCCAGTTTACTGAAAGAATGTCGTTACTCTTTACCATGTGTTTTAGTTAATTACAATTTTAGTTTAACATCCAAATGGTTCGTAAAACTTTTAAACGAGAACAGCTTTTCTCAGTTATGACAGACTTTTAGAAAACTAGGAATATGTTTTAAGTGCAACACGAGGATATGTAACAAACTATAAATCAGCACCAGCGCAAATCAAACTGTTGCGAATATCAATATTTCTTGCAGTGTAAAGTAACATAGTGCTTTGGTCCGGCAAAATGCAGAAGCGTCTCCAGCATATGGCAATGGGTGAGCTTGGCTCCCTACTTTAAGTCCTCCAATCCTCTTTAGTTTAGACAAAAGTCAGGGGTTTGATATTGAGTTTCTCGGCCAGGTTGGCGCAGGTCTTGAGCTGGTTCTCCAGATACTGGATACCGCCGGCAGCGTCCACACCAGCCATTCCATTCCGCTCCTTGTCACCAGCCAGAAGAACGGGGTTGCTGGGATCGGTCTGTTAAGAAAATCGATAAAATTAATAAAATCATAAAATATATGTTTGCTTAGTAACTAAATATTAAGTAGCAAAATATTCAATTAATAGTTAAATTAATTTATTTATTATTGTACCTATTTATATTTTTACTGATAGTCTTTTAAATTAATAATTAAATTTGATATGATTTTTTTAAACAATAAAATGAAGATAAGACTTATTGGCTTATATCCAAACGATGAGGAATATAGTTCTAAGTTACGTAAACTGATTTCGCTGGAACTGTTTTCTTATCAAAATTTCTAATTATTAATACTTTAAAAAATATTCCGTTCAGTATTAGTATTAACATTATTATTACTTTTTTAATCATTACCGCTTAGTCAACCAGTGTAGTTTAAAAATTAAATATCGTGATGATAATTGTAATTTAATATTTATATCAAAACGAGGAGAGCTAACTTCGGCAAGCCAAGTTTTAATACTTGCAGACTTTGCCGAAATTGCTAAAATGAAAAAGTAGCGAAAGGAATAAGGTATACATAAATAAACTAGATTTGCGTCGTTTGATGTCAATTGCTTTTATACTGCAAAAGTGTATATAAAAATGGAAAAAGGGATACTTTGCAGCCTTTAACTATTTTTCCTACGGAAGCTATAAGAAATAGACGTCCGATCGGGCTTTTACCCTAATCAAGATATGCGTAAATAAATAAGACTTGGAAAAATGTGTGTAGTAGCTTACACACTACGCGAAAATTCGAAAACCAACAAATTTGGACCGATTTCACCTGTTGTTCCTATGGGAGCTGTAGGATATAGACGTCCGATCGTCACGTGCTTTTACCCTAATCAAGGTATGCATAAAAAATACGATTTGGAAAGATTCATGTCAATTGCTTATATACTGTGCGAAATATCCTAAAAATCATTAAATTTTAACCGATTTCACCGTATTGTTCCTATGGGAGCTATAGGATATAGACGTCCGATCGCCAGGTACTTAACCTGATCAAGTTATGCATAAAAAATAAGATTTGGAAAGATTTATGTTAATAGCTTTTACACTGCCAAATATCTTCCATTCTTGAAAGTTATATCCGATTGTTCCTATGGAGCTATAGGATATAGACGTCCGAGCAGCACGCTTTTACCGAGGTTGATGGGGGAGTTAAGAAAATACGATAATTGAAAAAATAATATAGTTGCTTTTTAACAGGCGAAATATTCATGAAAAAAATTAAAATTTGGACCGATTTTTACCCTATTTTTTAAATGGGAGTTAAATAGGATATAGAAGTCGAGTAGCTTTTACTATATCCTAAAAATACGATTTGGAAAGAGTTCTATGTCAATAGCTTTTACACTGCGCGAAATATATCAATTCTTAGCAAGATAAATGATTTTCCTATGGTAGGATATAGACTATGGGCAGATTTTCAAACTTGATCTGCGTTCACAAGTTTCAAGTAGGTGAAAGTTTTAGATGCTGGGCTTTTAAACAGGCTTTCAAGCGGTATTGAAACAGACGGACAGACGGACAGACGGACATGGCTATATCGACTTATTGATCCTGTCAAGAATATATAGTATTTATAGGGTCGAATCGTCTCCTAATCACTACCGCTTACTAAACTAGTGTAGTTTCAAAATTAAATATCTTGATGACCTTCTGTAATTCAATATTTATATTAAAAAAGGATATATCCTTACCGGAGTGGTGCCCCTCAGGCGGGCATTGAAGTCAGTCATGCGCTCCTCGAAGTTGGGAGCGAAACAGTTGGGATCCACGGCGATGAAGACCTGGCCGAGATCAGCGGCCGAATCGGCGCCAGCGTGGGTCCACTTCCTGACCTTCGTGGAGTAGTTGGCGCCGGACATCACGCCCGACAGGATGTCCACCATGGCGCCCAGGCCATAGCCCTTGTAGCCGGAGGTCAGCTCGGATCCGCCCAGCGGCATCAGGCAGCCGGTGCTGAAGCCCAGGTCCGCGTCATTGGTCACCGCTCCATTGGGATCCTGGGCCCAGCCATCGGGCAGTGGGGCTCCCTTCCTGCGCTGGATCTCGATCTTGCCCACGGCCACGGCGGTGGTGGCCATGTCCAGCAGGAACTTGTCGCCATTGGTGGCATTGGCGCCCAGGGACAAAGGGTTGGTGCCCAGGGCAGCCTCCTTGGCGCGGGTGGGTGCCATCAGCGGCGAGGTGTTCGTCATGGACATGCCCACCAGACCCTGCTCCATGGCCCTGATGGCATACCAGCCGGCCATGCCGTAGTGGTTCGATCCCTTGGCACACACCCAGCCAACGCCCACGTTCTTGGCCTTCTGGCAGGCCAGATCCATGCAGTAGTTGCCCACCACGGCGCCCAAACCATTGAGGCCATCCACCCAGGCGGTGGCGGGGGTCTCCTTCAGGATCTTGGGCACAGCTCCTCCGTCCGTGGAGTTGATGGCCAGGTCGTTGATGTACATCTCCAGGCGGTTCATGCCGTGGCTAAAGTGACCCCGGTGATCGGCGGCCACCAGGAGATCCGCCTGGGCCTCGGCATGCGCCTGGGGCACCTTCACCGCCTTGAAGCAATCGATCATGAAGCGACGCGACTCGGCAACGGCCACAAGTTTCGGGGCGGCGGAGGACATGGTGCGGTGGGTTATAGAACGGTCTGCAAAAAGGGGTATGTTACTTTAGAATTTATAGATGAGCAGAGCGTGTGCTTTCGGATACGCGGCGTATGAGCGACTGGAGGCAAAAGCCATATAAAATGGTCTGAGGCAACCGAAGCGGACTTCTAATTGTTCTGGCAATCTCTCACCCATACCAAAACCCTAGGCGGTTGGAAACAACCCAAAGGGGCTCTATATGCTCTATCTGCCTCTGTTTATTTATTCTTTTTGGCAAACCCGAAATTCTTGAAGCGAATATGCTTATCAGCATTATGTTTGGTCAGGTTTCTACTGGGTCTTCGAGGGGTTCTCTACCTGATGTATTTGGTATATAATGGAATCGCAATCTCTGAAATTGTCTCGCGCGTGTAACATGTTTTTGTATTTCTTTCGAATCTGCCTCTCTATATTTTCTATTATAGGGGGCTCGCAAGTCTATATACCCACTTTATTTATTCATTCGCTGCTTATTTATTATTTGTGTGCGAGTATTTCAAGTTATTTCCGCTGCGTGTGTGGGTAGAGTATCTGTGTGCGCCTGGTAATGACCTTGAACTTGTGGAAATTATTTCTGTACTTTGAAATTAATGCGTTGAAATGAATGGCAAGTGATCGAGTTCAAAGAAAAGTGATGGTCTAGGGCATTTCAATTTGAGTTCATTTACTTGCTGAATGTTTGGTGAGAGGGGAAGGGGATTTTTCGTATTTCCATGTAATCCATATAATTTTGTTGACCTTACACAATGAAAGCGAGTGTGACGGATGGGCCACATGGCACACAAATAAGCACACAGCTAACACCCCATTAAGTTGATGGGTTTACGAGCATTATCTTATCGGTACCCAGTTGAACCACTCCAAAAAATTAAATTGGGCAAAAAATACAGTATAGAGTCTGGAAAATTAACTGATTATACCCGTTACTCGTAGAGTAAAAGGGTATATTGTATTCGTGCAAAAGTATGTAACAGCTAGAAGGAAGCGTTTCCGACCCTATAAAGTATATATATTCTTGATCAGGGTCACTAGCCGAGTCGATATAGCCATGTCCGTCTGTCCGTCTGTCCGTCTGTCTGTCCGTCTGTCTGTCCGTATGAACGCTGAGATCTCGGAAACTATAAAAGCTAGAAGATTGGCATTTTGCATGCAGATTCTAGGAGTTCCTACGCAGCGCAAGTTTGTTTCAAAATGGTGCCACGCCCCCTTTAACGCCCACAATCGCTAATATACGATTTTAAAAATTTAAATATTTCGGAAAAGTAAAAATGCAGTTTTATTGTGTTTATCAATACCTATCGAAATGTAGAAGAAATTTTTCAAATCGGACCATTCGTTAAAAAGTTATGCGTGATCAAAGTTTCTATCTCCATCTCCCTCGCACTCCATTTACCTGAGTAACGGGTATCTGATAGTCGGGGCTCCCGACTATAGCGTTCTCTCTTGTTTAATGGTAAATTATGCAAGCAAATATTAATAATAACAACTAATACTGTACTAAATAAATTGTTAAACAATACAAATAGATATTAACCGAGTTCTAGAACATCTCAAAGTTTATTTCCCAACAAAAGCTGACTCGCATTCGTTTTAAATGGCTCAAACACGACTTGGTTTATATTTTCTGTGATGGAATAAAAATAGCCAACGCCCATCTGCTAATTATTTAATATTTTGAAAGCGTTTAGAGGATTTCTCCATCATCTGCCCCCTTATCTTATCAGATTTAGCCCGTAGTCCAAAATACATTTGTTGAGCTTCGTAGGCCTGGTTCTGGTCCTAATCAATCTGGAGTAGACGAGTACGTTAAGTAATAATAATAAACAACAACTGTTGGGTTTAGGTAAACAAGTTTTATGACCGATTTGCTGGGCTCATTAACACCTTTTTTGAGTAATAGCAGAAAAATGATCGATCGAGCGTTGTTGCGGCGGGTGTTAAATTGATAAAATGGCAATTGAAATGAAACCAGTTCTTAAATTGTTTTAGGAAGAGCAAGTGCTTAATGAGCTTTTAATAAGGCAAACAAAATGTGAGTAGTAATAAATGCAAGGTAGACCAAGTGACGCCACCCATCCCATTGGAATTCCGATTCCTTTTTTTTTGTTTTTATCGTTAATTAAGAGCCAGTCCCCCTTTTCTTTATAAAATATCCACTTGTTCGTCAAATCGTTTTTTGGGCTGTGCTTGGTTTGCAAAATATAAACATTTGTTTTAATTATAAAAGTCTAAAGCAATTCGTTAGCTCGGCGTGTGGGAGTCATTACGAGAAAATTTAGCAAAAACCGGCTGAAATATGAAAAAAGAGGGAGAATGAATTTGAGAGAGGGACAACAAGAAACAGACGAAATTTAAAAATGACAGGGCTGTCATCTTTTCGAAATACTATTTTCAAAATTTTATATGAAAACAAAAAAATCCCTTAGTGTAATATATTGAGAAAAATAAAAATATAATTTAACACAGAAAATTAAGTTTTTTTTCATTCTGATTAGGCAGAGATCAAGCACTTTTAAAGTCATTAACAAGTGAATTATTTTAAGTTAAACGCACATATAGAGGTTATGTCTTATCTCTTATTAATAACGAAATATTAGAGATTTGTGACAATAACAATATTTCTAGCTTAAAAAAATACACATCTGGATTAATAAACTTGGAGCTCCTTAGTTTTATTCAGCTGGGTTCGGAAATATGTTCTTGGAAAATTGATATCTTATTTTTGTTTGTTTTGTATGTTTATTTATGTTTAATTTAGCTGTGTTTCTCTTTTAGTGGGTGTTTTTAATAGCTTGTTTTTGGATATGGTTAGATTTCCAAATAGGTACGTCATATTTATTTACCTATATTTACAAGCCGATGAAATGAAATCCTAGCTTTGGCTACTGTGTAAGTAACTGTACGTTGTCTTAACTTTGAATCGGTTACTATCGGTTAACGTTATATGCTTCTATTGGGGTTTGAATCACTGCTTCTTCTGCCGCATCATAAATCAACGACTGCACGCGCAATTTGCATAAATAGAGTTTTGAACTTACCGCTGGCATTAGCAATCGTGTTTGGCGCCTGCGCAGCTGCCGCTGCTGCTGCTGTTGTGGTTGTTGTTTTGCCGGCCAAAAGTGCAGAATGACGCCCACAGGTGTGCAAATGCAATTGGCGCCTTTGAAGCCGGGGCAAAAACCGCCAATTGGCAACGCGAGTGTGGGCGTAAACATCGCAGCTGACCGCCGTAATTGATCGTCGGAGCAATGTCAACGCAGTCATGACGACAAATAAGGTAAGACACAAAAAAAGGTAACCAAAACAGACAAGAAAAGAGATGCGAAAAGAGAGGTAGTGAGAGAGGAGAACCTGAGAATAGGTCTGCTACGTAATATATTACGTATACGTAAGCGAGAGAGGGGTGGAATCAGAATCACAATCAGCTGACGTGACGGCTGTGAGCTTTGCTTTTTCGCCTGCACTTTTTAGTTATTCTCTAATTCTCAAGTGACTCACAACGTTTCTCTTATTGTTTTGGGAGATTTACTCGCGCGCGGATTAATTGCCCAGAAAATAATAAAAAGCAAACAGAAACACTGGCGGTCCGTCAACTAATCACACCACTACTAAGTAATGTATTTAAATCAACTAACAAACAAACACGCAATTTACGTAATTAGCACAACAAACAAAACAACAACAGCAATAACAACAACAACAAAAGCTACTAGCGCCAATTGGCACGCCAAATTCCAATCAGAGCTGGGCTATAAAGCTAATATTATAGCTCTCCGGATCGGGCGTCTTTATCGTTCGAGGCGACAGTCTGAACTGCCGTGAACTGGCATCGTTCGCAGCTATCGCTTTTCCACACAAGGTGCCCCATCGGGAGGAAAAGCGAAATCGAAATTTAAATATAACAATTTCGATTCAAAGCTGCCGCGTGACATGTGTATTAAATAGGTTGCTAAAAGGGGGAAAGTGGTTTATTTTACAGCAAATAAGTTTAACAGTTTAATTTATAAACAAACGTGTTTTCGCTAAGAAATTGTTATATTTAAAAGCATCAACAATTTAGTTTTGTTTTTGCTAGTTTTTCTTGTTTTTTTTTTGCTTTGCAAAAAGCTGCAAAAAACATTGGTGTTAGTCTTGGATGACGCCCACTTACACCGTTACGTATTGACCATTAGTCGGGACTCTCACCCACGCAATGTGTGTTCCAGTTGGAATTAAAGCTAAAAAGCAAAAAGGATATTTGGTAATAACTGTTAAAAATGATTAATAAATAATGTGGGTTCTTACCAGCTTAAATATTTAAATGATTAGAAATTGTAAAAAGAATTTATTATGAATATTTGTAGACATATCCAAAACAATTAAAAACAATTTTTATAGTGCTGCAATGCATATGCTAGGTCAATCAAATTGTCTTTTTAATAAAAATATTTCTATTAACTTTAAAAGGTAGGAGGATCAAAATTGTACCTCAATATTGATATACATGTAAAGTGTATTTCAGCTTTAAGTCTCTGGATTACAAATATATATTTAGATAAGCTAAATTTATATTTACATATATATTTATATTAATATAGAATGAGTCAACATTTGCCACTTATTTAAATAAGAGCGTATTAAAAACATTCAAAAGGAATCATTGTTGTCTTATAACGACCTTTCTATTTGCTGGAAAGGGTTTGCTTTTAATAACTAGAAACTTCAATATTTAGTTTTCAATATGAGTAAACAATCGACCAAAATGTAAATGTTTTTATCTCACATTGAATCGAAGCTGTTGCTGCTCTGCTGTCTGTTTTGTTTGTTTTAGAAAACAACTTGTCGCTTAATATGGTTATTTGTTTGGTGTTTGTACGTGTGTTTATATCTCATTTCACCTGCCTTTCAATTAATGAATAATTTAAGTCATATTTATATTTATACATGCCAACGAATAATGTCGCTAGTCGGTTGACTGCCCCTATTTAGCACATGGGCGGAGATTACCTTTGACAGAGGCCCACGCACAGGTACAAATGTACATGTAAACAGGGGCTACGATTAATAACGATCCATCGTCGATAATCTATAGAGCGCTATCAGAAGCCTGCACAAGTTCTTAATTGGTAGTTACAGCGGGTTTGACGATTTTGGGAGATGCCAAGTCAACTTGTCGCTAAAACAAACAAACAAACCAAGCGATATCAGGCTAACACTTACTAGCACATGTATGTCATCATCACCGCCATCATCATCATCATTATGACTCAGTGGATCGTCATGCTTGGTGGTGGATTTTACACTCAAAAAAACGGAATTCTTTAACAAACAAATTCTATCTTGGCAATAAGTACAATAGTCTTTTTTTTCTGATGCAAAGAAGAAGAATCTAAGCCAAGCTTCAATGCTCTGCTTATATTTCGCACTGGTTTGTTTAAGATTAACATTTTTTGTGTATTTAAATGATTCAATTATGATGCAATAATCTTTAATTCCTAAAGTCCATAAAAATAATTAAAACTTAACTTTTACGATCTTCCTCTAAAACCATTTTTTTAATGTTGTTATTTGAAATTTCGCTGGTACTTAAAAACCCTTCTGAGAAATTTGTTTAAAATATTGGATAAGGCATAACTTATCTGATCTTTTAATAAGCTTTTCATATTTAATTACTTATTGTATTATAATTTACTTACATTTTTAAATACAGATCAAATAGAAGTAAAAAGTATGCACACTAAATTGTAATTCCTAATTTGCTGTTCTGTTTTATCAATACTTAAAGTTTGCCATTCAGACCATAAAGTTCCCAACAGCCAAGATAAAATAGTTTTTGCAATTCCTTAATATGAATATCAAAAAAATTTATAAATTGGATAATATTTGCGTTTGTTAATATTAAGTGGAAAATTATGTTTTTTTCCGCTGTGCAATCATTAATTTTGGGCGCCCCCTGCGGCGGCGCCTCTGGGCGAAATGTTGTCACTGGGGCTCGAAGATTCTCGCTGGGCTTTCGCCCGGCACGTCGCTTCGCCCGATCCCAATGCGCATTCCGCTGCAGACCGCCGGCCGAGGCAGTCGATTCATTAATAATCTCCAACGGAATCGAGAGTGGGAAATCGGCGAATCGCCAAAAAATAAACAAGCTCCCAACTAGCCGCTAACTGTTCAGAATCCGCATCGCGTCCGCTAATTGCTTTGTTTTCATTCTGGTTTTCTGTGCAGTCCAAAACCGAACTCAAAACTGAAAACCATTCCGAAGCCGAATAAAGTTTTTATCGCGAGTTTCGACCTCGACGTGAAAGTTTCCACCGCTGCGTGCACGTAAGTACGAAAATCATTTTTGGCATTGAGCGTCTGCTGTTTCGGTTGGCAATCAGAATAATTTCCGCTTAATTGCAGTTGATATACACACGAAGTGTGCCATGGCTGCGAATGTGAAGATTGTGGAGTCCAAGCTGGACATTTTTCAGGCCCCGCAGACCCATGCCCTGGCCCATGCCGTGGAGTCATCCTTTGTGGCGGAACGGGGATCCTTGGCATGGCAGTTTGCCCTGATCTACGGGGATGTGGATGAGCTCAGGCAGAGGAGAGTTGCCAGGGGAAACTGCGCCGTGCTGGAGCATAATGCCCGATTTATATACTATCTGGTCACCAAATCGAATCTCTACGAGGTCAGCACCTATGATGATGTCCAGGCGGCTTTGATCTGTATGCGGGAACATATGGTGAGTGCTAGGGAGTGTGGTCTTCGAGACGGGGTGGGGGTTTCCCCGAAAAAAATACAATACAAGTGACATTTCCCCCCAAAGAGTAACCGCACTTCGACGCTCGGAAAACTGGTTTCTTTGCCACTGCCTTCGTCAATTTACAGTTAATTTATTTGTACATTGAAATACAGTAAATATCTCACAACAGTTCCCCTTTTTGTCATCAAACTTTAAAGTGTTTGACTTGTTTAAAAATGTTTAGTCATAAAACGATTTAAAGGAATTTGCATACAGTTAATTTATTTGAACTTTGGAGATACAGTAGTTATCGGTTAACTGGTGTCCCCATCTAAATTGCTATTTTCTTTAGCTAAAGTATGTCTTTCGGTTAACTATAATTGCAGAGGAGAAAGTAAAGATTTAAATAACATTGTAGCACAATGCTTATCTTAAAATTTAAAACTTTTTCTTTGCTCTTGAGAATGGAAAAAGATTACATTTTTTTAACATTGCTAGCCCAACAAATATTTTGAAGTTATTTTTTATAATTTATTCTTAGTTTGCACATTTATATTTTTTATTTTTTTATAGCGGTGGTCAATAGACAATTTTAGTGAATTAAGTTAATTTTAGGAGGTGCGTAAAAAATTACTTAAAAAAATGATAATATAAATTTGTGATTTGTAAACTTAGATTTTTGTGGCTCCACAAATTATTACTTCAGCGGTGACAAATATCTAAGTATGATTAATCCGTTTTTTATTTTGTAGTTTAATTTAATATGTTTTATAAGGCAGTTAAAACTACTTCTAAGAATTTTATGAAACGGTACTTATTTAAATGGGAAGGCTTTTTAAGTTCACTCTTCCAAAGTTTCTATTAACCAATGTCCACTGTACTGTCTTCCAGCGCAACCACGAGATCACCAAAGTGGCCATGCCCCGGATCTGCTGCGGCAAAGATGGCCTCGAGTGGAGGCAAGTAAAGCGCCTGGTGCAGCAAACCTTCTCCCAGAGCGAGTATCCCATCGAGATACTCATCTGTGAGCATGATGACATGTCCAAGGAGGTAAGCAATCCAAGATCGTTATATAGAACAATTAACATACCCGGTTAATCCACAGCTCGCTGCGCCCAAGTGTCAGATTACGGAGGCCAGGGGGAATCTATTCAGTGCCCCGGAAAACTATGCATTGGTGCACTCTGTCAGTGCGGATTTCGCCATGTGTGCGGGCATTAACCTCCAGTTCCGCTGCAAATTCGGCCATGTGGATGAGCTGAAGCGACAGAACCGACACACCGGAAATGTGGCAGTTCTGGAACAGGATGGTCGCTATATCTACAACTTGGTGACCAAGGAACGGAGCCACGAAAAGTGCACTTACACAGCTCTCTATTATGCCCTCTTGGCCATGCGTGAACATATGGTGAGAAATAATATCTATAAAAAGAGATAACAACTGAATGACTAATTTATAAAGTGACCTAGTATATTACTTACTTTTCGATCACACAAATCATAAATTATTTGAATTATAATTTCATTTCCTTTTTAGAGGGAGCATGGAGTAACCAAGTTGGCCATTCCCCGACTGGGGTGCGGCATCGATCGCTTGGATTGGTTGCGCGTGCGCAGTTTGCTGGATCTGGTTTTCGCCGAGGACAATGTGGACATCATTGCCTTCTTTTACACTCCGCCACAAATGGTCAAGGACACTCTGAATGTGGTGTGCCCCACCTGTCGTCACATGAAGACCATCCATTTGCCATCGAGATCCGTCAGCGGATCTAGGCAATCCCTGCACCGCGAAAAGACCCCGTTTTAATTGCGGGCAGAGACTCTGTATATAAAAATCTTCGTATGACATTCGAAATGGTTTTACTTGGGACTTGTGGCACCGAATGCACCAAAAACTTATATAGCTGTTAAGAATATACACCTAAGAGCTTTCATGCACGGAAAATTTATATTTTTGGGTATTTATATTGTATTTAAATTAATAAACGAAACACGCCCTCGAGAGGGTATTAACCAAAGGTTGAAGTTTTAATTTGATATATGCTGTTATTTCTTCTGATTGTTAGAAATCAGAACTTTTTAAAAAATGCTAGGAAATATTTTCTAAAAGACGAAAAAACGTTTAAATCGCTATAGATTTTTGTGACACCCCATAGAATTTATAAGAAATCTAGTAGTTCCGCCCTAACTCTCAGTACTTTTAATTAACAATTTAAATAATACAAAATGTATTCTCCTAAACTTCTAGATTTACGTAACGCATTTCGACGGGCTTTTGTAGTCGGAATGTCATCAAAACCACAATACAGTCTAAGCGAGGTGGACGGTGACCTTTTCTCCGCCCCCAAGGACTATTCACTGGCCCATTGTGTGGGCGCCGATCTTGCAATGGGTGCTGGAATCGCAGTGCAGTTCAAGAAGGTCTACGGCAAGGTGGACGAACTGAAAGCCCAACAAGCAGGCAGTGGCGATGTAGCGGTGCTTAAGGATGACCAGCGCTACATATACTATTTGGTAACCAAGTCTCAAAGCTGGGGAAAACCCACCTACGAATCTCTGCAGGCATCCCTGGAGCAAATGCGGGAGCACATGGTAAATATAAATTAGCTAAAAATATTATTTTGTTTTAAAGACTACAGGAATTCTTTGTAAAAGTATATTTAATCTCATTAATTGAAAAATAAGATTATTCTGTGGTGAATTCCAACTTTATTATAAAGCAACTAGCAAATGTTTAAAATCGTGCTTAAGCAATTTTTCATTTCATCTTTCCAGTTCTTAGTAGATATATGTACATGTTCAGGCTATTTAGCAAGATATTTTCATTCTGCTATTTGTTGAGAATTTAAATACAGAGCCCTATATCGACACTATAATAATCAACCTATATCTTATATTAGCGCCATAACAACGTGGATAAGCTGGCTATACCACGAATAGGCTGCGGCATCGATGGCTTGGAGTGGGACAAAGTCAGTGGAGTTCTAGAGTACGTTTTTGGCCAGGAACCGCTGGAGATTGTGGTCTACAACTTTGTTCCACCGCAGAACAAATAATGGAATATTTATGCATATTTTGTGCCATTTACTTCTGAGCTTTAAAATTATAAACAACCAGTTCCACTGCATCGGATTGGAAAACCGTGCAGACGAGTTCCTTTACTTTTTGCCATTTTAGGCCATCTAAACGGCATCCTATGCGGGGCATGGCTAACTTGGCGACTTGGTGGGAGATCTGTTGGTAATTATGGGGCATTATAGTTTATAGCGACGGCAAATAGACCCGCTTACCATATGCTGTCGCATTGCAATCAAGGAGTTGTGAAGGAGTTCATAGCTAGGCTTTCCCCAACTGTATTTCTTCGTTATCAGATAGTATATATAACGCTGCTGATCCTGAATGATGGCCACGCCCCCGGGCTGAACATTCTGATTCTGCAAGTTCAGCAATTGCCCAAATTTGTTGCTAAAGAATCGGAAAATATATAATTAATCATTAAACCTGATAGTATAACACATTTTGGCCTACCGAAACTTTATAGCTATGCCTTTGCCCATACGCAAATCTGCGGCCACACAATGGCACATGGAATAGTCACTCTTGCAACTGAATAAGTCGCCTTTGACTTCTTTGTAAGTAAAACTTGCCATTTTCAATAGTTTTTTAGCTTTATAAATTATAACTTTTCCACAAACTTTTTTTTTCAATTGTGCGCATTTCCCGTGTCTGCGTTTCCCTTCAAATGGCTGCCAGCTGGTGTTTGGCAACGCGTAAGTAATCCCCACCTTGCAACACTGCCGCAGTCCTCATTGCATATAAGGTCACACTCAAAAAGAACTTCGATCAGCTGATAACAAATGAGTTTTATTTTTAAATTTATTGCCACTTTTGTACGCAAAATGCTGGAGCTTCTGCAATTTGGTGGAAAGACCTTGACGCACACGTTAAGCATTTATGTAAAAACAAATACGGGAAAAACTTTGACCGTGAACTTGGAGCCCCAGTGGGATATCAAGAATGTAAAGGAACTGGTGGCCCCGCAATTGGGACTCCAACCGGATGATTTAAAAATCATATTTGCAGGAAAGGAACTGAGTGATGCAACTACTATAGAGGTAGGTCAGTCCAGAATTAAACTCCCTTTAAAATGTTAAATTTTCCCATCTTCCAGTAGCAATGTGATTTGGGCCAGCAGAGCATTTTGCATGCTATCCGTTTGCGACCGCCTGTGCAACGCCAGAAAATCCAGTCGGCCACTTTGGAGGAGGAGGAACCTTCTCTGGGCGAAGAACCCTCGAAACCCCTCAATGAAACCCTTCTGGACTTGCAGCTGCAAAGTGAGGAGCGACTCAACATCACCGATGAGGGTAGGCAACAGGTGTTTTCAAGAGTAAATTCCTCGTAATACTCCCTAATGTTCTTCAGAAAGAGTTCGTGCCAAGGCTCACTTCTTCGTACACTGCAGCCAGTGCGACAAGCTGTGCAATGGCAAACTCCGGGTGCGCTGCTCCCTCTGCAAAGGTGGCGCCTTCACTGTCCATCGAGATCCGGAGTGCTGGGATGATGTCCTCAAGCCACGCCGCATTCCCGGACACTGTGAAAGTCTGGAGGTGGCCTGTGTGGACAACGAGGCGGGGGATCCGCCCTTCGCCGAGTTCTTCTTCAAGTGTGCAGAGCACGTGTCCGGCGGAGAGAAGGACTTTGCTGCTCCCTTGAACCTTATCAAGAACAACATCAAAGATGTTCCTTGCCTAGCCTGCACAGATGTGAGGTGATTATTTAATCAAATTGCATATTTTATGACGTGGCTTTATATTTATTAGAGTCTACTAAAAAAAGTTTAGTGCAAGTTATTTTTTATGATTGTGTAATAAGTATACAATCATCTTGCCGATTTAAAAAAAAGCAACTTATTTTTATTTGTTTAAAAATAGCACTATAACGATAATCCGCTATAACATGAATTTAAATGTAGAATATATATAATATCACAGATCCGTGTGCTGAACAGATTTCTATACACAGAGATATATTTTATAGATTTGTTATGGTTCCTTGAAGAATACATTTTTTTTACCTTCTCTCTTTTGCAGTGAAACTGTTTTGGTCTTCCCCTGTGCTTCGCAGCACGTCACCTGCATCGAATGCTTTCGCCACTATTGCCGTTCCCGATTGGGCGAACGTCAGTTTATGCCGCATCCGGACTTTGGCTATACTTTGCCCTGTCCCGCCGGCTGCGAGCACTCGTTCATCGAGGAGATCCACCACTTCAAGCTGCTGACGCGCGAGGAGTACGATCGCTACCAGAGATTCGCCACCGAGGAATATGTCCTGCAGGCTGGCGGAGTACTCTGTCCTCAACCAGGATGTGGCATGGGCCTCTTGGTGGACCCCGAGTGCCGCAAGGTGACCTGCCAGAATGGTTGTGGCTATGTCTTCTGTCGCAACTGCCTGCAGGGCTACCACATCGGGGAGTGCCTGCCCGAGGGGACGGGTGCTAGTGCCCAGAATTCCTGCGAGTACACCGTGGACCCGAACGTAAGTTTGTTGCTGTGAGGCGCAATCGTACCCGCTTGTGTAATCATGTGCTTTTCTTAGCGAGCTGCCGAGGCGCGATGGGAGGAGGCCAGCAATGTCACCATCAAAGTCAGCACCAAGCCCTGCCCCAAATGTCGAACGCCCACGGAGCGAGATGGTAAGTTTGGTGGGGGAGTGGGATATCCAAGACGCAGTTCGTTATACATCCTAACCCATCCTTTTCCCTCCTTTCAGGCGGCTGCATGCACATGGTCTGCACACGCGCTGGCTGCGGATTCGAGTGGTGCTGGGTTTGCCAGACTGAGTGGACACGCGACTGCATGGGCGCTCACTGGTTCGGCTAGTCGTTCGTCGGCCCAAAGTGGCCATTTTGTTTGTTGACTACTTTTAAATTGTATACCATAGTAAAGACTGCTCGAGCAACACCCTGTTTGTCGTCTACGCAATCAATAGCAGAAACACCCCTGACAAGGACCGCGGAGCTCATCCTACCCCACTCTGTTCCTTCGTTGCGTGCGCACGAAACTTTGTTTACGTTTTTCCATCGCTCGCCCACAAATATTTTGAGGACTTTCCTCTTTGGGCTGGCATGCGAAAACCGCAACAAACACGTGCACTTGGCCACGGACGGAGCAAGAGAGTGCGGCGGATGCGCAGTGGGTGGCCAGCGGTACTGAGCTCATGAAACCCAGGCGCGTAGCCACAAGGGGACCCCCAATAATTGATTAGGAGACAGCTAAGGCATTTCAAAAATTTGCTATGAGGGTTTTCGAATTCCTTATTTGGGATCTATTTTTTTGTTTTGAAGAAGTTTATCCTTTATTTTAAGAAAGAGACCCTAAAGTACAGTAGAACTTAAGTAGAAGGTACTTAACTTTCCTTTATTATTATTGTTTTCTTCAGTGTTAATAAACATATATAATATGTATAAATAACAGTACGAATAAATATTTCATTAGTAGCCGTAATTTGTACCTTGTTGGTTGTACTATCGTTTTACAGATGTATATATGTATGTGCAGGAAAAATAACTTATTTCAATATAATTGGGATTTCTCTGGTACCGGCATATTATTTTTATTAAAAAGCATTTTACTGATAAAGCAAGATATTTTGGAGTTAAATATATTAATAAGATCAAAACTATGTTAGAATATACAAAATATCACAGTCTGCTTAGAATGCCTATCATTTTTTATAAAAGCAAAAAAATTGTTAAGAAAGCCTACCCTTGCATTATCAAAATATATTAGCATAACTCGTTTGAAGTCCTAACTTCGTTTTATAAAAAAATTAGAGAATGTTGAGCTGAGGAAGTAAGCCTGTCCATTTGAAAGTCCACCTGGCTGGTTATCAGTCTGCCCAATGCCTTATCGGTCATCAAAAGTTGGGCTGGCGAAATGCCACAGGTTCATGGGAAGCTAATATAAACGGAAACATCCCTTGACGGAGAGAACTACGAGTGCGCCAGAAAGCGTGCTGGGGTTTTTCGCATATTGGTGGAAATTCGTGGCCCGGACATCGATAAATCCAGCCTATACATACCTCATTCACACACACCGAACGTGGGAAAGCCCCAAGCGGGACTCTGAAGGAAAAATTCGCTGCGCACTCACTGCTTTCTCTCGCTCTCCCTCGCCGTTTCTCTCTGGGATTCTCCCATCTCTCGCCCATTTAGAAGTAACGCCACGTTCTAGATTCCTTTCGGCTTGCCGCTCTGTTTTGGTTTGGTTTCTGTTTTGTGCTCTAATTCGTAAGCAAAGCGAATAGTTTCCACTGGCATTTCCCAGAGAGCCGGAGAGAGAGCGAAGTGCAGCGAATTTTCCGCCCTCGAATGGCAAAAGGAAAAGCTCGCTCGCGCATGTGGGCAGGTTGCCCATCGAATCGGGTCACAAAGTTCCCAGTGCAGCAGCTTCTGTGTTTTTTTTTCTATTTATTTTTTTTCCGTCTGCTCCTTGCTGCGGTGCTTGTCTTTTGCCAGCTTTTCTGCTTCTTCTGCTTTGGGAGGCCTTCGGTGTATAAATGGCAGCGCGCCCGCGTATCGCATTTCAGTCTACGTTGGACTTTAGCGCGCGCCACACACTCGGCGTATACGTAACGCGTCCCAAGACACGGCGGACTCCGCATCGAACTGAGACCTCCGTCCGAGAAACGCCGCCGTGCTCCGATCACTTGGCGTTTTGGTCCGGCCGCTCTTCGATTTTTCCGCGCGAGCCTCGAAGAGAAAATCGGAAAAGTCGGTGGCAAAGTGCCTCTCACGAGTGAACCATTGTGAACTGTTCTTCGTGGGCACTAGAATTTAAAATTTAACGGCTTTTCGTGGTATGTGCGAATGGGAAAAACGTGGAGAGAGTTTTCGAAATCAGAGGCGAGGTTTTTAATTGCATCAATTAGTGAAAATTTAATTTTCGACTGTAGTGAATGAAGGGAAGGTAAAAATAAAACATTTTAATTCAATAATAGATTGCAAAAGCGGAATATTAAACTTTAAAAAAGGCAACAGTGAAAAATAAATATTGGCATTTTAAACGGACGTGTAAAAGTTTCCAAACTAAACAAACTAACGATCAGAAACAAGGTAATTAAAGATATTGTATAAAGAGTATTTAACAGAGTTTTACATTTATAATTAAAGAATGAAAATCTATTTTACAAAAAACTTTTAAAAATGGGTGATGCTTTTATTTTGTTTAGTTAATTCATTAATTTTTTAAAGGTTGCAATCATTATTTGTCCTTACTTATTTATTTTGTTTTACAGTTCTTTTAAAAGCTTCTCCTTTAATTTATTGTATTTATCTTGTAAAACTATTTTTTACTTTTTTAAAATAATTTGTAGACTGAAATTAATAATTTGTAATATTGACTTTTATGTTTAAGCTAAGTAATTTAAGTTTATTTAATGTATGGATGCTTAAACTTAAATTCGCTCACAAATTATTAAACAATACTATAAATATTCTTCTGCAAAATATTATTTTGTTACACCTTATGATATTTTTACAATACGCCCACGCACTTGAGGTCCTGCCCCATTTATTGGAAATCCTCCTCCACGCAGAGACTCAATTAAAATCGCAATATTCCGCTGCATACATTCGGGCGCTTCGCTCGGGCCACATTGCACATACGCAACGTGTGACGCGCGCGGGTCCGTGTAATGATTGTGTACACCAGCAGCTCGTGCTTCTGCTCCTGCTCCTTCTTTGGTTACTGCTGCTGCTGGACGCAGAGGAGGAAAACAAAAATAAAGAAAAGTACAGAAACAGTGCAAGAGCTGAGGCGAAAACCCGTCTCGGGCTGCTGTTTTTATTGATTTATATATACACGGTGGCGGCGAGTGGGAGGCTGTTCTGTTGCTGCCGTCGCTGTTGTGTCGCAATGTCCCAAAAAGAGGCACCACCAACACATACATACGCGGGCAGCATCCATCGCCAACGCCATTTACACGGCTGCCGTCGTGCTCAACTTCCGTTTCCTGTCGCAGGATCCAAAGAGCGAATGGGAGAGAGAGAACCCAGACTTGCCACCTTTTCGGGGCCCCAGCGATTGCAGTTGCGTTGCTTAACTTAACTTATTTCGAGGCTCATTTCATTTATGGCTGATGGTTTTTGTTTTACCTAACCCTTTGGGCCTCGAAAGCTCTCTCCGCCACTCTCTCTCTCTCGAGAATGCTCTCCCGTGCTCTCTTCGCCGGCTAATGGCTCGCTTTCTCTCACTCTCTTGGCCAACTTGTGTTTACATTGATTATGTTATCCACTCCGCCCCCGTGTTTGACTTTGCTAATAGAGTTGTCCTGCCCCTCCTCCTTCTGACTTGCTAATTTGCTGCCAGGACATCATCATCATCATCATCATCCACCTCATCTAAAACGTCACTTGCTCGGGCGCTCCAATCAATAAAGGTTGCCCCAGCTAACGCTTTCCCGCGCTGGCCACCCACTACCGATTGCCTTCAATTATTATTTTTCGCCTTTTTTCTGGTGTTTTTGCGAAAAAAAAAGTTTATTAATCAATAAACGCACACGTCAAGAACAAACTTACAGACGCCCACAAGTAACTGCGGTGCACAGAAAATATAGCAATACACAAAATGAGATCAAGACAACTGTATGGAATATAGATTTATGCCTCTTAGTAACAAAATACACTAATTCGATTACGATTTCAATAACTAAATCTTTTTTTAGTTAAAACAACATTGTTTAAATGCTTTTAAAGCTAATATAATTATTTAAAAATGGCTTAACACCTTTTTTAAAAATATTCATTTAAATTTTTATCAACTTATAAAAATGTATATAAATGGGAGTCAAGAACATATTCTTAGCATGGGATCATAGTTCTTTAAATGGGTTTATTAAAGGTGTTTTTCGAATACAATTTGTTTTGCTCTGTGTACAGTATTTGTGTGTGCTGATATGTAATGTCCCGGGTGTGTGACGGGTGGTTTTGTGGCTAAGAGAAGCTGTTGGAAGACATTCGGCGTTGCTTGGTGACGACTTTGAACCACCCACCGTCCCATCCTACATCCACCCGCTGGTCCTTATCAATCCCACTCCAGATGTGTGCACTTTTGTGGCTCATTAACGGTTTGCATGCGGCCAAAATGCATGCGGTTATTCATTGAATGCGAAGGCAATGGTGTGTGTGTGGGAGATGCGCTCGATAAGTTGAGTGGCTGTTTGTTGTCGTTGTTGTGGTGCCTCAGCTGCCTGTGCGTGAGTGCAAAACAAACGGAATTTTGCGCATGGCCCATCAAGAGATGCACCCAAACGTCAGGGTCCTTCCACCGCCGTCATATCCCCAATTACCAGCCCCCTGAATTTTCCATTTCCCAGCCATCTTCAGTCGGCAGCCGCATTTCGTGCATCATAACATGAGTGGGATATTCGGCGAGTTGCTGGCTCTCATTAGCATGTGTGGAATGTCAGGATTGCACTCAGTTAAACTCAAGGATCCACAATTGAGGCATTTGTGGTTTTCGCATTTTCATGCACAACGCTGAGGGGCAATTTTAAAAGGGAAAGGAATTTACGATTACAAAAGTATATGAATCTTAAAACTTACTTGCTCTGCATATTCTTAATCATTTGAATGTTATGAAAATATTGTTTAAGTTTACAACACTTCCCTGTAAATTCCTCTTTGGTAAATTTTAATATTTAATATTTTATTTTATTTTACAAAAAAAATCAGTAAACGTTGTACATATTATTATTATTTCTTAATAATAATATAATATATATATTTGCATATTTTATATTTTATTATTATAAATCAATTCTAAAAAAGTTTTAATAATTACGTTATAAACATCTTTATTAAAGACTTATAATTTTTCATTAATTTTAGACCTTAAAGGATCCTTCAATTGTATCATTATTTATGTACATTTCATGTGAAATAATAATAATAAGAAAATGTCGTAAGGAGCCTGTGAGCAGTTCAATAAAGCCCTACTTATCTCTTTATCCCCGTCAGATTAGTAGTCTCGAAACCACATAGTTTGCACCCATCACAAAACCCAGGACCATGTACCTCACATAAAATGTTATTGGCCCGATGTTAATTGAATTGTCTGCGGCCCTCCGTACGCAATTGTCTCGTTGCTTGCAACCATGGGCAACTGTTTAACGATCTCGCCATTGGCATTCCCATTTCCGGAGGGCCATTAAATGTCCAGCCATTAAAGAGCGGGGAAACACACACATGCACACACACAAAGGACACTATTTTTGCCTGATAATAAACCCACACACTTTGCTCTCTCTTTTTTTGCACTCCATTCACAGGAGGACAATAAGAAAACTGCAAGTGTGGCGAAAATTGATTCGAACATAAATAAAGGGCAGCCAAGCGTGGCCAGACAAGGACAACAAAAGCAAGAAGCCGAAGGATTTGCGATTGGCCGAAAAGGGAAAATCAATAATAGCCACATGTAAGAGGACACCGGGCATAAGCAATATGGTGGCCACTCGGAAAGGCATGGGGCAGACGACTCCTAGCCTCCAGTTGTTGCGGAATAAGTAACGAATTCAAGGGACTACCATGTCGGACCGGTATCCAGCCAGCTTCTACGATCAGCAGCAGCAGCAGCAGCAGCATCACCAGCTAGCCCACCATCCACATCACACGACCACCATGTCGCACTATCCGCCGCAGCCCTACAGATCGGGTTACACCGGCTACCATCCCTATGGCTATGGCTACGGGTCTTCTAGTGCTTCTTACATGCCCAACTACTACCGCTATGCGCCGTACGCCTCGCCGCACTACAGCCAGCACCACCAGGGGATGTTCACGCCGGCTGGGCAGCAGCTAATCCCCTCCAGCGTGCTGCACTATCCGCCCAGGTCGCATCCCTACCAGCAGCACCAGCAGCAATCTCAGCCTGGCTACGAGCCACCTCCTCCCTTGCCATACAGTTCTTCCGCCTCCTACCAGTCCCGTGGCTTCGGTGGCTACACGGGTCCCACGCCCCACTATGCCCCGCCGGGCAGATCCTCCACGCCGGCTCCAAATCGCACAGTGCTGCCGCCCAGCTATTTGGAACCACTTCGCAGCTACAGCGCCGAGCAGCAATTGCTGAGCCAGCAGCAACATCTCGCCCAGCAGCAATTGCAGCATCGCCCGCTGGTGGCCACACCAAAGCTCGAGGACCCGGACATCGAAGTGGAGGCGGTGGCGGAGTCCCCCGCCCAGCGGTTGACCACATCGCCGCCCATGATCAGCGCCACCGGAACGGACAGCGGCATCAGCAATTGCAGCACTCGGGCGCGAAGTGACAGTAGTCAGAGCACGCCCATTTACAGTGGCGAGTATCCGGTTAACATGTCCGTGGAGTCCGCCTCCTGTGTGCCATATCACTGTCCGGCGGACGGCAGGGACTACGAGGAGGAGGAGCTCCAGCCACCGGCGATGGCGGAGACCAGGAGGGCGGACACTCCGCTCGATATGCCCGGTAAGTTGTCAGCTTTTTTATCGCATCGCATCGCATCGCCTGTCGTTTCTTCATTACACTCTATTTAATTTGCAATTATGCGCGGCCGCGGGGGAGAATTCGTAATTTTATGCAAACATATGTCAGGGAAGATTATGTAACAAGTATTGAAGTCAGCAAGGGCGGCAGCCAACGGGCAGTTACTTCAGCGGAAATCAACGATTGAAGACACAGTGGTAAGGTATGGGATCGATCGGTTAATGGGGTGTAAATGTTCGGTTTAATATCATTGATATGGGGAAATGTTTCCAGAAAATTTAGAATGGAAAAAGAGATTTGGAGCATTTGGAGTACATGTCCACAGAAGTTTTTAAATATATTAATTTTTTAACGATCCACTTCTGTACCAAAAATACAGATATTCAGTAAAACATTGGCGGCAAAAATTAAAATAAAATCAGACCTATTTTTCATCGACCTTTTCTTTACTTTTGAGAAATAAAGTTATTTCTTAAAAGAAACCTAGGTAAATGGTATTGGAATTTAGTAATATCACCAGTACCACTGTGGCGCATTTTACTTATGCTTGATTCTGCATGCAAATTAATGCAAGAACTGTCCGTTCGTGTTGCCGTCATCGTTGTCATCGTGGTCGGAGTGTCGTCCGTAAAGCAATGTCCGTCAGGCTTTCCACCAGCTCCTCCGATTCCAATTCCCCGCCATCCCTCCAATCGCCTACACAAGGCACAAGCCTGACAAGCCGACGTTTTTCAAACACTCAACCAATCAGCGTTGGTTAACTGCTGAAATACTTCCGTTTCCTGACAGGAGGGCTTGCTTTATGGGTGGGCGGTTGGCAGAGCGGGTGGCTTTGGGGCGCCTACGTCATGCTGCTTCGCAGGACTTCAAAATTAGCTGTCTATTTAGGCACGCGAATACCAGAGACTCCCCAACTTTGCCCTGTGATGTGTGGCTTTTTAATTTTTTTGTCGTGTGTGCAAATCAATAAGTCAACTGTGTATGTGGATGACCCACCAGGTGCGAAGTGAACCCACATCTTTTTTCTGAATATTTTGCAGTGCAAACGAACTTTGTGCACTTAGAAAAATTATAAATCAGATTCAAGTTTCAGAAAAATATAATTAGTAGTCGTTGTCTAGTTCAATTTGGAAATGATTTAAAGAATTTTTGGTTAAAAACTAAACAAATAATTTTTTTACGTAAGTCATCAAAACAGTCAATGAAAATGTGACTTGTTTTAGAAAAGAAAGAATACTTTCATTTTAAAAATCGTAGATACCTAAAATCCGTTAGGGATATGGCATAAAAAGTTAGATTTGTATTGTAAAATGTATAATCAAGAACATTTTATTTCCAGTGTGATTTCATGTTTGCCTGTGTTTGTGGGCGGTTTTTTGTAAAGCTACGTCGTTATCAATGGGCGTTTGACTTTCACACACAAAACACCCACACAGCCTTATCTAAGGGTGTCTTTCTTGCCAACTGTGTGTGCGTGAAATGTCATCACAGCCAACATGTAAATGAACTTTTCAGCGTAATGCGGTGGTTGCCGCTGCTTTTGCCGACTTACTACCGTTAGTCAAACCCACCCACACAGACAGCAAACACACCCGAACACCCACAAACACATGCACAGGAAAAAGTAAAGATCGTTTAAGATTTTTCAATATAGGGTCAATATAAATAATATATTATTGTATTACAGTGTCTTAATAAATTTTCCAATAAATATCGGGTTTCGAACATTACTAAATATCAGCTTGCCTTGCGTTTTGAAAATAAGCATTCAATATTTTTTCCTGTGCACTAATCAAGGGAGGAACCAGCGACACCCTGAAATAATAAGAGGAACAGGAATAGGAACAGCTCCCTGGTGCAATAGCCAGGGCTCAAATTCAACTTCAACCTCAACCTCCGATTCTGGCCACCATATGGAGGCAAAAATCAATGTCCGTTATGTGAAATGAAGTGCAGTTAAAAAAGGAATTCAATTTAGGGGATATTTCCGCAAAAAGACTGAATATACAATTATAATTAACTTTTCTTTGTTATAATAGGCTCGTATTTCTAAAAAGTAATGTAATCTTATCAGTAATGTAATTTTTTGATAGATAAAAAAACCTTAAAAACCGGACTTGTTAAAAATAAATTCAAATTAAATATCACAAAATTTTATTAAAATAAATAAGATACTTTTTGTTATGATTAAAAAAATTAAACATTTAATAATATACTACTGTAACTGAAAGGATTAGCTTAAACTCGTAAAATCGAGTTGATCACCTGCATATGCTAAAAATCCTTTTGCAACAATAATTGATTTATCGACGCAACTGATTGCAGCTTTAAATGCATTGCAGTAACTGCCACAATGGCAACAACATGTCCGAAAATATAGCCAAGCTTGATGGAAATACGTAAACATTGCAGTCTGAGTCGCATGCGCCGAGAAGTGCGCTACACTTTTTGATGCTTTTTCGCCACTCTCTCCTCTCTTTTATTCCTATGGGTGAGAGCGGGTGTGTCAGTGTGTGCCAGCCACGTTCAACAAGTGCATGACGCTCTCCGGACTTTCCTCTCTCTCTCTCTCTTTCCTTTATTTGGCCTCGGGAAAAATGATTTGATAAGCGCGTGCGAAAAAGCCCTTCGATTCCACGCCGAATGGTCACTGTTCTGGGCCTGGTTTTTAACCCTTGATTGCCGCCTGCACGCATGACAAAATAATTAGAGCCCCAGAAATTCGCAAAATTCCACCCAGGGAGCCAAATCGCTTCAGACCTATTGATTTTTTCTTTCTGTGGCCTCCTCCAACTTATTTCCCAACTTGTTTTCCAGATGACATAAGCGCCACGTCGCCACCAGTGGCCAGTGATAAGGTGAAACCTGCGCCGCCCACTCCGCCCGAAGTTGCCAAGCGTGCGGAAATCAATTTGCAGCAGGAGACAGGAGTAAGGGCAGGAGCACCCTCCGATGCGCCGACGACGCCGCAGGATGCCAACGGTGATCCAATAATCGAGCCGACCGACGAGAAGACAGGACATGCGGTAAGTGTTGAATGAAATCAAATTAGCGGCGGGCGGGAAAAATTGCAATTAAAACTGCAGGTGCAGCGTGCAGCTCAGCGATGTATAAGGGGTCTAATTAAGAGGCAATCTGGGGGGCCATCCTCTTATCCTTTCGAGATAAATTAGGCCAAAGCAAACGAGCAACCAGAGCCTGATAATGACAGCCGCCCACACGAACGCCACTCCTCACCATCCTGGCCAAAATAGAGAAAAGGCCAAAAGCGAAATGCGTTTAGCTCCATCGACCGGCTTTACTCATTGTAAAACTCTGAGAAGGAGTTTGGTGGAAACGGGAGAAAGCACGGTGAAAGCTCTCCCAGAGAGCGCCTCAGCCGGAAGCCTTTTTACAGGGTGTTCCAGCCGAGCCGTACACAAAAAAGGGGCGCCTATTGATTTTTGGGGCGCTACGTTGAACTTCACCCGGCTGACGGTGGCTGGCTGGTAAGATTGGAGCTGGTTCGGAAAAGGAGAAGGTGGCTCTTTTGGGGGTTGCCTGGTAACACGAGCTGCCAGCAGCGAGCACGCGCCACCCAGCTGGCGGGGAATGGGGAACGGGTAGTCCAATGGGGAGACTGGCAGCTCAAAGTTGTTCAAGTGCCCGCCACTTGAGCGTAACAACTTTGCCGCTGCAAAACGGCTTGGAAAATAACTAAATCGATTTTTTTCCTTACCACTTGCAACAGCAAAATCCTGTGACGACCAACTGGAGTCCAACGCCACGACGCCCGCGCACTCCGCCGGCGCCCCAGAACTCGCCCATTGGTTTTGGCCAGAATGCGACCGTGCCACCCGCCTTGGCCCCTCTGCTGCAACAGCAACAGCAGCAGCAGCTGCAGCTGCAACAGCAGGCCAGCAACCTCAAGCGGTGTGCAACATCTGGCAGGAATCGCAGCAGCAGCAGCATCTGCGTCAGCAGCAACAACCGCATCATCGAGTGCGATCTCATTCCGAGCAAGAAATCAAAACGGAAGGCGGCCAAAAAGGAAGCTGGCGAGTGCGAGAACATGGAGCCCGTTGTTAGGGAACAAATTAGGGTAAGTAAAGTACAATATTAATTTTAAATTAGAATTGATTTTAGTAAAAAAAACGTATTTTCAACAAAAAATATATCCCTAATAATAAAATTTGTTAAAAGGTTCAAAGACTAAATGGACTTAAACTCAAATAATAAATTAATATGATTATTCAAGGATAAATTAATTTTATTAAAAAAAAAAATAACTTAAACAAAACAATACTTAATTGAATTGGAAACTTATTCCAAAATAAAATAATGTAATAATAATATAGTTTTATATGATTAAAAGTTATAATAGTAGAAATAGGTGAATTGTTTTTGAAAAACACCTCCACCAACACTTGTTTTTTTAACAGTAAAATATTTGTATAGGATTTAATAAATATTGGTTTCACAAAAATTATATTAATATTTTAAAAGTAGTTTTAGAGATGAACGTAAAGTGAAAACTACCATTAACTCATATTCATAAATACAGAATAATACAAAAAACTACATTAGAATTCAAAAATCTCTACTAATACTATCCCTCAAAACACCCGCAGGACATCAAGCCTTTGCCGGGTTTCCTGCAGGCATTCGGATCCACTGAAATCGGGCGTTTCTCCGAGAGATTTCTGCAGACCCCCGAATCGCTGATGGAGCGATTGACAGAAGAATACTTAGTCAGTTCGCCCAGCAACTTCCCATCTCATCCAGCTGGAAGCTACATAGAGCCCCCGGCTACGCCCACACAAAACTACTTTCCCTACGAGGAGCAGAACCAAGGCGGCTATCCCAGGAATCGAATGCGAGGCTATGGCTACGAGATGCCGGACTACATGGCGTATGAGCGATATGCGGCCTACGGAGCCGGGAGACCAAGAGCTCGGTACGGGGAAATCCGCTGCAACGGCTACTAGATACGGTCGACCGATGTTGAGCGGATCATATATAGCTTAGGGGTTAGTGTTGTTGTAGTCGTGCATAGTCGTTGTCATTCGATATTCTCTGTGTGTGCCTTTTTCGGTCAAAATTGGACAATGAATTCCCCCGAAAAGTTGTTGTTGTCGGGGGCATTGTTGGCAATAAGTGCGTTCAAAATTTACCACAAGAAAAAAACAAAAGAAACAAGAAGCCAAAATATTGTTAGAAAACCATCTACATGTAAATGAATAATCAATTAAGTAGTTCAATGTATTTTAAATCGAAAGCGTTTTAAATCGATTCAGAATGTAAGTTGAAATCTTGTCCCACTGTACATAAAAATGCATTTCGTATATGTAACTCTAGATATAGTCAAGCTACTTGGGCAGTTGGTAAAGGGATCTAAAAGTTGTCGAGGCCTCCAGGAGTTAGGAGACATTTTTTCTCAACTTCTACGTAAATGTAATGAACACTCAAAATTGTTTACAGCACCGTTTCCGATTGGAAACATTTTACGGGGCACAAAATTCCGAAATCACCCCCAAAAAAATAAAAAAAAAAAAGGATCAAAAATCTTACATTTAGCAAAAAGATGTGCCATTGAAAAATATCTTTAATTAAAAACACCATAATTTAGGAATTACGTTTATGTACAATACAAATACAAATTAAAGATTAGCTACGGTAATCTAAAGCCGGATAGTTAATGTTAAAGCAATGCAGTACATTTTAGACTAGGACACTGACACACACATATACACAGATACAATTACACCCATACAGAGACACACTCAAACCACCGCACTAATTTGTACTTGGCAAAATTGATTTATTTTCTATCGATTTACTAACAACTTATTCATTTTCGAATCGATTTCTTTGTTGCATTGAGTGCCTTAATTTAATTGAATTTATTTCCAATATATGTGCGTGAACAAATAAACGTAACGAATTTGTATGATTTACTTGTAGAGAAACAACCAAGTTCAGGTTTCAAAGGGGCCCAACAAAATTTCAAATGCAAATCGAACAAATCAATGAAGACAAAAACAACCGAAATACCAAAACGGAAAAAAATCCAAACACATCGAGCGACATTCAAAAATGTTTAATAGCAATTACAAAAAACTAGTTAATATGTAAAGAAACTACTCACCAACAAAAAAACAAAGAAAACCTTGTAGCGTTGACATTTTATGCCAACTATTTGGATGTCTTCAACAAAATGAAGGAACAAAAACCGAGGACGAAACAATATGAAAACCAAGTATTTAGTATAATTAAGTCCGTGTGTAAATAAATATTTGAAAGTTTGAATTTTATGAAATAAATCACGCAAAACGATTAGCAAAGGATGTTGGTAAACAAAACGCTGACTTGTTGCTTACATCATTGTATTTTGGGACTTTTGTTTAACTGTTTTATTCGTTTAATTAATTTATAAATATTATTACATAACCTAGAAGTGTTTATTGTTTTTATCTTTTTGTGTGGGTTTGTGTGTTTAAATTAATTACAAAAATAGTTCAGTTGTAAGAAGAGCAGAATCGTAGTAATAATAGTAATTAGAATTTAGTTGAGCGGAAACGAAATAAGGATACGAAGGCGCCTGGAACTAAAGTACAAAAGCATACGTCTGTGGTTCCAAAAAAGGGCGGTATATAGGCTTAAGAACTAAACAGAAGCAGAGTAAATAGTTAAGAGCTGGTTAAACACATAAAACTGAGCGATTGGGGGTACACAGTGGTGTGAGGGGTGCGGAGTTGGCTACAATTTTAGTACAATTTGCTGGTTGTATCGCTTTAGTTCCCGTACATGTATAAATAGTTTTTCTGCTCACATCAGAAGGGCGATGGCCCTTGGGGTTTTTGTTTGGGGTTCGTTTGCATCCGCTTTATATACGCATCAAACAGTTACACAATTATCGGATCATCGGTAATAATTAGTTATAAATAATTAGTTAATGTATTATATATCATTAAATGTTCGCCGCTCCTCACTTCCTTCGCAGGCCAAGGGACGCCGCTGCGTCCGTGTCTTGTTTGTGGTGATGATGCTGGTGCAGGAATCCTGGCAAGGGCTCCCGCAATCATGACGATGATGCCGCCGACGAGTTCTTTGTGGAGCTGCCGCCGCCGCCACCGCTGATGCAGTTGCGCTGCTTCTCGATGTACACGTTGAGCAGCCTCACCTTGCTGGGATTCAGCACGGAGAGCTTCGGTTTGACCTTCTCCTCGCCCAGCACGAAATACAGTTTGACAATGCAGAACACTGCCGCCTTGCGCACCATCGATTGCGTGTCGTCCGCGGATCGTGCCAGATTCGGGAACACAATGTCCAGGTGGGCGTCCGTGATCTCAGAACCATGATGCTCGGTCACCTCCAGCAGGATCTTGATGGCGCACAGATTCGTTGGAAATTCGCCCGTCGCAATCACCGGGTTGACAATGTTGATGGACAGATCCAGCGGCAGAGATGGTGCTATTCTTGGTATCATCGAATCGATATCCCGCAAAGCCTCCTTGCTGTGCTGATAGCATTGAATGATCTTTAGCAGAATCAGCTCCAGGAAGTGCATCCAGTTGTGGCGCATTTTATTGCTGCGCATTATCTTACTGAGCACGTGCAGGCCGGCGATGACCACGTCCGTGTGCTCCGCCTCCAGAATGTTTAGCAGCATGCGCATGATCGATCTAAAGTGCTTGTTGGGCAGCTCACAGTTTCCGCCCTTGATGCAGATGCCCAGATTCGTCAGCGACGTTTGCAGCAGCTCCACGGGCTGATCCTTTGTCAGCGTCAGGGCCACACGCACCACTTCGCTCTCCATCAGGTCGCTGGCCAGGATAAGTTCCCCGTTCTCCGCCATATTTAGTGAGACCGTTGGCACCTTGGCATCCCCTGTTGGGTGCGGGGATTTGGCATTCTGGCCTGCTCTGTCCCGCTCCAGGTTGTCCAGCCGCATGGTGGCCGACTCCGGCGTGTTCGACTGGGTTGTGTTAGCCGACGACTGCGTCTTGGAGTTGGAAGACAGGGAGGCACACGAGTCCTGCTGACCCAGATCGTGATACTGCAGGTGTCCGTTGAAGCCATTGGGCGCCAGCGCCGTCTGGTACTGGCCACCAAAGCAGTGTCGGATCTCCTCCGACGTCTTCTGGATGTTGTGCTGGATGGCATCCAGCTCCGAGGAGAAGAGCAGCTCCTGCTCCACGGATGACTGCCGCGAGCGGGGACTAGTGGAGCTCAGGCTGAGCTGGTGGTGGCTCTGGAGCGAGGCAAAAGGACCCACCGAGGGACTCTGCAACGGCTTGGGACTGCTACTGCTCAGTGGAGAGCTGCTAGGCGAGTTGGCACCCGAATTGCCACTTTGGCTCTGTCTGCGCATGTTTGACTGGATACAGGAGCGGGCCGAGTCTTGGTATCCCTTTGGCAGGTTGGCCAATAGCCGAGTCATCTGCGGGGTGTTCAAATTGTACAGGGCCACCAGGCAGGATCTGGCCTGGGAGCGTAGCTCCATCGACTTCTGGTCCGACGCCAGCTGGGCCAACTTAAGGACCGTCCGTTCGCAGGCCTGGCTCTGGTCGCTGGGAAAGTCGCTGCTCTTGCAGTACGTGTTGGCCAGATCCGTGAGGAAGCGCAAGATGGCGAGGCGTGTCTTGGTGGTTGGCGTCTGCGTGGAGTCCGAAATGATCCTGAATAGCTCCTTAAGCTGTAACTGCGTGGGGAAGTACTCGTGCACCACTTGCAGCGTCTTCCAGATCTTGCTGTGCATCGAGTTGAGGAGATCGGTGCCCAGTTTGTTGAATAGACGCGTCAGCAGGATAAATAGCCAGTCGTGCAGCTCGGGCGCATGAACCAGGATTAGCTCAGTAACCGTGTCCAGGAACAGAGAGTACACCTTGGTGTGCGTGTCCATGAACATCTTGCGGAACATGTCCAGAACACACTGGAGCTGCTGCTGCGAAAGCTCCTTGCCATCCGCCAGATACTGTGTGAGGCTGATCAGTCCATCCTTCCTTTCAGACCAATGCGTCGAGGCGCAGAACTGAATGATAGTTTCAATATCGTCGAAAGGCGCCCTCTGCGTGCTCCAGTCCAAACGGGTGTGGCTTCCACTCAGCGAATAGTTCGACTTATTACCTCTAGTGTAGCTGGAGTCGCAAGATCGCTCCGAGCACACGGAACTGGCCTCGGAGTCTATGTCGTCGGACTCATCGCGTCCCAGGAGCTTCCTGCCCATCCGCATTCCGCTGCTGCGCATGTAGTCCCCGGACACGTAATCCGGCTGTCCATCATCTCCGAAGCCTAGTGTGTGTTCTGCCTCACGAGATTGGGCCAAGAGTCGAGCTGCCGCCGAAGGCCTGACCGGATTATTTCTCTCCGGCGTCCTTCGCGATCCTGATCCCGTCGAGTACATACTGCGCTTCATCAGGCCACCGCCTGACCTAGTTGGACTCGTTTCCCTGGAGCTGGCTGTGCTTCGGGGTATTCCAGAGGCCTTTTTGGGTATGGCCCCAGTGGCTCCCCGATAATAGCTACTTATTCCGCCGTACTGATCCCGCAGCTTTGTGCTTGGCGAGGTGGAACGTGATCCTGGCTGTGACTGAGAGACACCGGCTCGTCCACGGGGCCGTGGCGTAACCGTTCCGGGTGTGGTGGCCGGCGTGGAACCGCTGTTGGAATTCAGACGTGGCCTGGGCAGTGATCCGCTGGCCGCTGCACCAGTCCCCGTTGTCTGGTTGGAGTTGCTGGGCCCCAGCGGCTTCCGTTGCCTTGAATAAAGGGTGTACTGGGCCCGGGCTTTGGCTCTCTGTGCAGCAGCCGTGTCCACAGCTGAAATGGATCTCATACTAGGAGTGGGCTTCTGCAGAGTTCCTGGTGTTCGGCCTATGCGGGATACAGTGCGTCTCGTTTCCGGTGGGGCAACACTTCCACCTCCTCCTCCTCCGCCTCCCTCTCGTTCTCTTTCTAAAGCTCGCTGGGCAGCTATGTCCAAAGTGCCATATATCTGATCCGCCAGATCCGGAAAGTGCCGCCTAAAAGGCCCAGTAAGCACACCTGGAATGGCGGCGCGCATCGCTGTCCGCATCGCCAATGGACTTCTTCAAGGTATCCCGCAGAATGGTGGAATGCCGCTCCAACGCCTTGGTCTGCCACTCCTCGAAGAGCAGCACCATCAGCTCACAGAGTGTGGATCTAATATCTTTCGACTTTGACTGATTAAGTGTGTCCGTGTAGATCTTGAGCAGCTTCGGAGCGTGCGTGTACTTAATGATGTACTTAAGAGCCAACGTGGAGGCGGAGGCTATGACCTTGGCGCTGTTTTGGATCAGATTGATCAGCTGCTCCAAAATGCTCCAGCAGAAGGCATCCAGTTTATTCCGTAGTGTCTTAGACATGTAGGCGATGGTGATGCACGCCTCGCGGATCACCTGTGAGCGCAGTTCCTCTTTGAGGATGTCCAGGAAGCTCAACGACAGGTCCTTTAGTTGCACGGCCACAAATTGCGGCTGGGAGTGGTAGCTGAGTATAAGCAGCGAACGGATCTTCTTCAGAGCATCCACGCGCTTCTCCCAATCCGAGTTCTTATCGCTGATGATCACCAGTATTTGCTTGTAGATGTCGTCCATGTCCTTGGCATGGAAAATGTTTAACTGCGGGACCGACTCAAAGCTTGACTCGAAGGTCTCCATGGTAACAGCGCCGGCATCGCCGCTCACATCGTTTACACTGGGTTTGGGGCGCAGCGATGAGGAGACGGCCGAGTGCAGTGGCCGCTTGATCATCCGGGTGGGTCTCTCCCTCACCCCAATGTTGTCCGCCTCGTCCAAGCCCACTCCGTTGCCATTGCCATTGGTGTTCTTCAGGGCTGAAGGCAGCAATAGACCCTCTTGCTTGACCTGATCGAATTTTTGTTCCAGCATCGCTAATTTGGAAGCAGGCACATCATCCATGCGGCGTAGGTCTGGCCGCAGGCGATCCCCCACATGTTTGTAGATCTCAACCAGCGTCTGAATGGCCGC